TCATAACTCGTTTGACTTCAAGACTATGATACGGATATTTTATGATTCATATACCTTAAAATACGACCTCTTGAGAGTATTAAGCACCCCTAGGTTTACCCAAAAATACGGCTGACAACATCCTTGATTCGTTTAACTTCTAATACTTGTTAACCACCCTTATACACCTTTGTATCATTTAAGACCAATAAGATTAATCTCTTATCATCTCAAAGATAATCTCTTCATGGATTTACGTCGACGACCCTATGGCATGAACTAACGTATGTAAATATGGGTTGTAACACCCTCCCCCCCTTAGGAACATTCGTCCTCGAATGTAAGGGTTTATGGGGAGTCCAAATCATCGTGGATTCCAACGGAAATTCCCGGTCAATTTTCCCCTATAAAATGGTTACTAGCAAAACTTGCAAGCAGTTAAGCCCAACGTATGGCCTCACAAGGCTACACAAAGCATTATGGACATGTACATTATCTACATATCACCATTTTGTATTAAGGAAGAGTATTCTCAAGTTATTGCTTACCTCATAGAGCCGTTTCACCTTCTAATGTATCCTGTGTTCCACCAGTATCCTTGTTATCTTCATTCTGGAATAGGTAAGGATATTTAGAACTCATCTCCTCTTCCGCTTCCCATGTCATTTCTTCCTTATTCTTGTTTCTCCACAATACTTTGACAGAAGCTACATCTTTTGTTCTCAGCTTGCGGACTTGTCGATCTAATATAGCCACTGGCACTTCATCATATGATAGATCCTCTGTAACTTGTACATCTTTGATAGGGACAACTCGAGAAGGGTCTCCAATACATTTCCTCAACATAGATACATGGAATACTGGATGGACAAATTCCAATTCGGATGGCAATTCTAACTCATAAGCAACCTGTCCAATTCGTCGAAGAATTTTGTACGGACCGATATACCGTGGACTCAACTTACCCTTTTTCCCAAAACGCATAACACCCTTCATCGGCGAGATCCTCAGGAAAACCCAATCACCAACCTCAAACTCCAGATCACGACGTCGGACATCAGAATAAGACTTTTGCCTGCTTTGTGCCGTCCTCAATCGCTCCTGTATCACTTTCACCTTCTCAACGGCTTGGTGAATCAAATCTGGCCCATATAATTCTGATTCACCGACTTCGAACCATCCAACTGGTGATCTACATCTCCTCCCGTATAGTGCCTCGTATGGGGCCATTTTAATACTGGAATGGTAGCTATTATTGTAGGCAAATTCTATGAGTGGAAGATGGTCATCCCAATTTCCCTTAAAATCTAGAACACATGCTCGTAGCATATCTTCAAGTGTCTGAATGGTACGTTCAGCTTGTCCGTCCGTCTGTGGATGAAATGCAGTGCTGAGATTCACTTGTGTGCCTAAACCCTTCTGAAAAGACCTCCAAAAGTTAGCCGTAAATTGAGCTCCTCGGTCTGATATAATAGATATTGGTACACCATGAAGCCTAACAATCTCCTTGATATACAACTTCGCATAATCTTCATCCGTGTAAGTTGTTTTAACTGGCAGAAAATGGGCACATTTTGTAAGTCGATCAACTATCACCCAGATGGAGTCAAACTTATGATAAGAGCGAGGTAACCCAATAATGAAGTCCATATTAATCACCTCCCATTTCCAGGTCGGAATCTCTATATTCTGAAGCAATCCACCGGGTTTCTGATGTTCGATCTTTACTTGTTGACAATTAGGACACTGGGCTACAAATTCTGCAATAGACTTCTTCATGTTATCCCACCAATACAGCTCCTTAATGTCATGATACATCTTTGTCGAGCCGGGATGGATGGAATATCGGGATTGATGAATCTCATTCATAATCTTCTCTCGCAACCCTGCCACATTAGGCACACATAATCGGCCCTGGTATCTCAGTGCCCCATCTCCTCCGATCTCAAAAGCCGTAATTTTACACTGCTGAATGCTCTCTCTCAATCGTACTAAGATAGGATCTTCATATTGCCGTGCTTTTACCTCGGCTACCAAAGATGATTCTGATGTATTATGTACAGTAACACCTCCGTCATCAGAGTCTAACAATCTGATTCTCATATTGGCTAGCTGATGAAGCTCTTTAGTCAACCCCCATCTACCTGCCTCAATATGTACTAAGCTTCCCATTGACTTACGGCTGAGAGCGTCTGCCACAACATTTGCTTTACCGGGATGATACAATATCTCGACGTCGTAGTCTTTCAGTAATTCAAGCCACCTACGCTGCCTCAAATTCAACTCTTTCTGCTTGAAGATGTGTTGTAAACTCTTGTGATCTGTGTAGATGTCAACATGGACGCCGTATAAGTAGTGCCGCCATATCTTCAAAGCATATATTACTGCAGCCAATTCCAAATCATGGGTTGGATAATTCTTTTCATGCTTCTTCAATTGTCTTGATACATAAGCAATCACCTTCTCACGTTGCATCAATATGCACCCCAAACCTATACCTGAGGCATCACAATATACCACATAACCTTCTGGTCCTTCAGGAAGAGTGAGCACTGGTGCGGATGTCAATCGATTCTTCAACTCCTGAAAACTTCGTTCACAGGCGTCAGACCACTGGAATTTAGTAGCTTTCTGTGTTAACTTAGTCAATGGTGCCGATATAGAGGAAAACCCTTCAACAAATTGCCTATAATATCCTGCTAGCCCCAGGAAGCTGCGGACTTCTGATGGTGTTGTAGGTCTCGGCCAATTCTTTACTGCATCGATCTTCTGAGTGTCGACACTAATACCCTCGTCAAATATCACATGGCCAAGGAATGCTACTGAGTTCAGCCAGAATTCACATTTGGAGAGCTTAGCATATAACTTACGATCCTGAAGCGTCTGTGATACTATCCGCAAGTGGCCCGCATGTTCAGCCTCCGAACGAGAATACACCAAAATGTCATCAATGAATACGATCACGAACACATCAAGATAGGGCCTGAATATAGTATTCATGAGATCCNTCCTTCTCATTCAGTTTCATTTTTTCTTGTATAACCTTGAGGTTCTTTGACCTTTGCTCAGATAACATTTTCATACTTTCCTTCATCAAATTAAGAGATAAGTCAGATGAGGGAAATCGAATAGGTATAACCAACTAACAAGAGCATCTTACAAGAGCTTCATTGGCGGGCGTGGAAGAACGGAAGAACACAGAAGTAACCTCCATAGCTTGTTCCGGAACGTCAAGGCGAAACTTGAGTCCCATTTCTGCAAATGCAGACAAAAGTGCAACATGGTCCCCCTGCAAGAATTGGCATCTCAATTTTTACAATCGCAAATTGGTAGAGAAACAACATAACCACATTTTGTTGATTATCTGGAAACAGAAGCGCAAATTGATTGTTGTCACTGGAATAAGAGGCGCCAACAGGGCTTCAATATTTACAGCCAAGTGTACAAGAATAACAAGATGAGAAAACATCTTGCACCTTAATTAAATTTTATATTGAATTTGGTTATAATATGTGCTTTATTCTTATAACTTTATCCTGAAAGAGGGAAATTAATTAAACAAAGATACAATTTAATAATGGGGTTCATTGACCTATTAGCTGGGTTTAAGCACTCTGTACAATTAAATGAAACTATAACACAGATATAAAGGATTTAAATAATTATCCTTTTCTGATACCAGAATATCCACAAGGGTAGATGAAATAGGTCAGGTCTGGCTGGAGAATAGAATGTTAATTATTACTAAAAAGTTGATTATTGACACTTCGTAAAAAGTTAACAGTTGAGACACAGGGCTGATACACGAGTACATTGTTTGTGATGCTAAGACATGGTCAGACTAAGGAGTTCATGTTACTAGGTGGAGTACTTGTCATGGCATATTGGAATAATACTACTGAACCAGTTAAGTACTGTAAGGGCTCATTTGCTTCCCCTATATGAAAAATAACCATGGCATAGGAATCTGTAAGGAATAACAAGCTTGGTTCAGGACATAAAACTCTGCATATTAACAGAACATTTGCTTACCAGTCTTTTTTCCATATAAACAATACTTGCATAACTTAAACGGTAATATTGTATATTATTCGATGCAAGATAGGAATTGGAATACAAACAATACATAGATAAGAGCATCTAAAATGATTTTAAAAAATACACTCAAGTAATGCGCCTTGTTTTAGTACCCACAAAAATAAAACCTTATATGGTACGAATTCTTAATAAGTTGTAACTTTAATGTTTTTTGAAACAAAAACTTGCACTTGCATACTAACTAGTATAGCTACTTGACATTTGTACTGCAATCCCTGCATAATAATTTTACAATATTAGTTATCGCATAATTCATTCTCAAATTATTACTCACCACATAACCATCATATATTACAGTATATTACAAGTATATTACACAGACCTCATTGGGTGTTAAAGGAACTGGACAAACCTCAGCAGCTGCCAGAAACATTTTTGCGAGAGCTTGTTTCAAGGAGCTTGAAAGTAACTTTGTGAGCCCAAAATCAAGCAAAATTGGGCGATGAGGGGGTTCCTTGCTCACCAGAAAATTTCCTATTCTTGACAACCCAAAAGAATATTAAACACAGTGAACCACTGTTAAGAGTTGGAAACGTCTACTCAGCATAATTAGCAGGACGAAATGTTGTAGCTTATGTAGAATCTTTGAGAGGTAAAAAGCATAAGCAAGTTAGTCTTGAGTCTTGACAAGCAGCATATCAACAAAATCACGTCAGGCGTAACTCAAAGTTAACACAGTGCCTCATCGAAAGAGAAAGGAATGAAAATCTACCTGGATGAGGGTCTCCATTAAAAAATCCATCAACATAAATTTGGTGTGCATATGCACGTGTAATTTCTTCGACAAGTTTTTGCTTGTCTACTCCCAAAGCTCGAAGTGATTCAGCGTCATTCAAACGAACACCATCCATATACTCCAGTATGAGCACCTTTTCAGTGGACTGCCATTTCAAGTAATCCAATATAAGAATGTTATTGAGAAAGAAATGAAGACATCTCACAAATACAGGGACAGAAGTAACTAATGAGACAATGGAAGTGATTGAAGCCTGCACCTTTCTAAAATAATCGGTAAACTAATATAAAATACCATAAACAATTTCAGCATCTTTAGGACAAGTGAAACACAATTATATAGGTGAGTGCATCACACATCCCCTCATTGTCAAACATAAAGATTTTTCTTTTTGATCAGGTAAATAAAATTTCATTAATGAATGGGCCAAAACGAAAGTGGCCACATACAAGAACTACACCAAAAAAGGAAGACTACAAAAAGATATGGTTCTCTACAAAAGACACCCAATCTTCTATACAAACGGGGACTTCATGGGTGCACCAAAAAAGAATAAGGGATAGGAGGCTACTCCTCAACTGAACAAAACTCATATCTCCCTCAGCCCTATTTCTCTCTCCAAATAACCCACATGATTGCTAGAGGAGCAACAGTCCATGCCCTGCGCCTTCTCCTCCTTCTCCCACCCTTCCAGCTGCACATTAACTCTTTTACTGTTCTTGGCATTACCCATGCTATGCAGAACAAAGAAATTATTTCCCTCCATAGCCTCGAGGCTAGGCTACAATGTAGAAGGAGATGATCCACATCTTCACCCGCCTCCTTACACATGAAGCACCAACTAACATAAACGACCATCCGCTTCCTAAGGTTCTCGGCCATCAAGATCACCCATCTAGCTGCTAACCAAATGAACAAACACACTTTCCTTGGAACTTCAGTATCCAAATTGAGCTATATGGAAACACATCCTCCTCTTCAACCAAAAGCTTTTCATAGAAGACTTTACAGAAAAAACTCTGTTGTTCCCCAACCTCCACTTCCATGCATCATGGCTATCAAGTGACTAACATAGCTTGTGAAGCAAATCTAACAATCATTGGATATTCAATCACTTCCCAATAATTGAAATCCCTCCTGAATCTCAAATCCAAGAAAACCTCTCCGCCTTGAATTTCTCGAATTTGTTGGACAGTCAACTCCTTTTGGCATGACACTCTGAAAATTCTCGGGAATTGATCTTTCAACATATTATCCCCACACCACTTATGTCCCCAAAAGCTAACTCTCACCCCTGTCTCCTTCAAACATAAACGATATCTCTGTCATAAACCAAAGGGAAAGGAGTGGACCCTTGTGAAAAAAAACCGGAAAGGAAACACCTACTCAGTTATTTACCTCCCTGCTAGACCTAATACTTGTTACTCCCTCCGTTTCCATTTACGATGATGCAGTTTGACTTGGCACAAACGTTTAAGGAAAAAAAACGCTTTTAAAAACGATGTGGTCCTAAAACGCTTAAGGGGCTAAAAGCTTGTAAGGCCATGACATT